TCATATGAACCGAATATACATTTTTATATACATATATATTAAATGTTTTATGGTCTATTATGACTCAATCTTTCTATAGTTAGCCATAGTGGTTAGCATCTAAAATAGAATTACATCTATTATTTATTATGTATTTCTTATATATTTACTTAAAATATACAGTATGTATTTCCCTTGATCTACCAACTCCCCTATGTGATCTACTGCTACATCCCAACCTCTGCCTTATTAGGTTGACCATATGTACATACTGTACCTAAATGCAAAGAGTTGTCAGACTAGATATTTGTGTAAACAGACAGCTCCACATGGTGTAGCTAATGAAGTGACCACTGAGTAGAGACTGACCCCCAGTAAACTCAGGGCTGTATGGAAATCCACAACGTGCTGTCCTAACTGTCAAAGCAGCATTGGCAGGTGATCAACAGGGCCAGATGAAACCGAGCTGGGTCTCAGACGGAACATATGGACGAACCGATAAGAGGAGAGCACAGGTGATCATGCTCTCTCAAATGGCCTGCTGATTGGTTAATGATGTGAGTGTGAACAGGCGATTCGCTAATGCGCTGCCTGATGAGGCAAGATTATGCCATGTGACCATCGTTTATATTACATGCATCCAGTGATCACACTGTCCGTGTCATACCATTTGATCTTTTTGGTAACACGATCAGACCATAGACGCTGCATGAGAAGTGGAGGCGGCCAATCAGGCGCAAAGGAGAAGTTGCAGCAGTGGCTACGGTTTCAGGACAAAGTCCCTCAACAGTTATCATATCTGAGCTACTGTAAAACCCATGGGTGAAAAATGGCACATTCTACACAATTAGGTGTCAAGGAGAGATTTTTTTTTTTTTTGCTTAGTAACAAGTGTGTGATGCTTTACTTTTACTGTTCTTCTGATGACTAAAGGTGCATTCTGAATTGAAACCATTTGGTTTAATGGAGTGTAACTAAGTGATCTCTACAGACGCACACTTGAACAGGGTTTTGGACTTTGGTTAAAAGTGACAGCCCCAGTCTCACTCATTAGTTTGAGGTATTTTCAGTGAGAACATATAATCTTTTTTTTTATTTAGATTTATGTAGAGAAATATATTTAGATTTTGTTTTATAAAATAGTTGATGTGTAGAGCACATATGAATGGACAGATGGGAGGCTGACAGAGGGCCATCTGGTGAGGACCTGGTTACAGACAGTGTTGGTTTACCACCATCAGAGCTTCTGTTGATTTTTGTAGCTCAACATTTGTAAAGATAATAGTGTTTTAAAATGAACCCTCTGTGTAATTCTGCTCCTAAAAATACTGTATGTAATATCTTTAAAATCTGTCTTCAGTCGTTTGTTTTAGCATTCAGATGTCTGTTTTGTTCTGAAACTTTTTTTAGTTTCCAGATCATGACTATATTGTAACCCAACTCACACCCTTGTCGTCTTTTTGTTTTTCATCGTCGAAGCACACTCCCAAACCTCTTTTTTTAAAGTCCATGACACGAAAAAAAAAAATCACCGTTGTCATGGTTCTGCCAACAGCAGAGCTCTTATGTTTTGGCCTTGGCCCAGATCAGATGGTTTATCTTATGGATCAATGGCCTTGATCAATATGCACTCTAATGAGGAGGGCTCTTTAATGATTGGCCGCTTGGTTTTAGTAGGTTGAATGCTCAGTTTGTGTGCATGAGTGTGTGTGTCACTGATCTCTGTTTTTTTAAACAGGTCGGGTGTTTTATATACATCATACTGTGTGTGCTGCGGGTTAAACCTGGAGTGCACACACACACACACACACACAGCTGAGGAAATGATATGCTACGATGATCAGAAGAGGTTTCACACAGAATCCAAACAATGATTGAAAAATTATAAATGTTTTTTTATTACTGTACATCAGGCATGTCAAACATAGGGCCCACGGGCCAAAACTGGGCCACTAGGGGGTTCAACCCGGCCCGCTTGATGAATTTTCTAAAGTGGAAAAAATGCAACAACATTTAATATTTGTGATGTTTTGTCAAAATATATTTCATTAAATGTGGATATTTTCTAATATACTTGTACTTGTTTGCAGGAAAACAAGAGGGGACTAAACATGGACTTATTGTTATTTAAGATAATTATGCTAACATTGTACTGGTCCGGCCCACTACACATCTAATTAGGCTGTATGTGGCCCCTGCTGTACATGGTCCTGTGATGGACTGGTGTCTGTCCAAGGGTTAGTCAGTTCAGGGCTGCTCCAGATTCCCTGAAAGGGATCAAACAATAGGACATGGATAAATATTGAATTGATGATGTCTGGGTTAGAATTGGATTGAGTAATGTCAAATAAATGATGACATTCTGTGATAAAAACTCTTATGTTAAAATGCCTGTATCCACAAGTCAGAGCCATTCACTGAACCTCGTTGCTGAAGCCATCTTGAAATGCAGATTTGGGTTTAGTACACGTTCTAGCCTAGAGGGACTGGTTCGAACATAACTGGCTGTTATTACTCACTTTGTACAGTTTGTCATTGGTCATTAGTCATTTGACAGATTTCACATCTACAAAACGATTCTTATTTTTGGTCCAAAACACATTGAGTATTTAAAAAGGAGATTAAAAATAGTTTTAGAGCCTCATTAACATATTGATCAAATGAGACTTTTTTTAAATTGGTGTTTTTAATACTTTACTGACGTCTCTGGCATAAACTTGCACTGTTTTGTTTGTTTTTGGTTTTTTTTGGCTGGCTACAAAAACGACAACATGACAGAAGTGGGTTGACAGTAAGGTGGTTTAGGCTCTCACAAAGAAAAAACCCTAAATAATTCTGATTTCCTCCCATGACACCCACACCAAACAGAAATGTATTTTAGGCACCGTCTCCATTTGCATCCCTTTCATTAACCTTACACCAAAGCTGCGAGTAGGAAACCTTAGTTTTCCCCAACCCCCAGCCCACACTCCCCCTCCTCATCTGATGAAGGCCAGGCTGACGGATGTCTAACCTTCAGTCTTTGGAGTAGAATTTCATTTGAAGTGTCCCCTGTGTACAACCTGCAGCCAGTGTTTCTTTGCTGATATCTTCAAACGTCTTGTCACTCCAAGCATACATATCTCTGTTGCTGCAAAAAAAAAAAAGGTAAAAAGAGCACATGTGTTAAAGCTCGCTGCATCTGATGGTTTGGAGTAAGCGGCCGTGTCGTCCTGTAGCGGCAGATCAGGAGGGTTTTTATCCTGCAGGAGATAGAAGGAGAGAGAAATGATGGGAGGAGGTGAGTGATGAAGGATGAAAGAGAGTAAGAAGGGGTCGCTGGGAATGTGGAACATGGTGTTCAGATTGATTGAGTAGGACAAGCAGTTGGTGAAGCTCACACCTCTTTTGTTTGAATTCCGCAAAAACCACCAAAGTGCTCCACCCTTTTTTCTTTCCTCTCATCACCCGTCTTCCCCCGGCTCTTTCCTTTAATTCTCCTCTCACCTTTCAAAGAATACTTACATCTCAGATAGTCACATCGGAGCCACAGGCGTGTTGAGACAATGCAGTGAAACTTATAACCTTTAATAATTGAATGCCAGACAGCACTGGTGCCTGGCAGCATCATCTTCGTGGCATTGTTATTGTTCTCTCTTTGTTCTTGGCTTGAATTAGATGCTAATGCGTAGCGCCTCAGCCCAGGACAGGACACATGTGTTTGGACACAGAGGCCTTAGAGCTTTTGGAGTTTTATTAAAACAAAACAAAAAAAGGAAGCATCAGAGAGGTTGGCAGTTTTTGAAGCTAGCCACTGTCGCAACATAAAGGCAACTCAGAAGGGATTTCCTCCCCTAAGAGCCAGGCGATGACTTTACTCCTCTTTTGTGAGTAAACCTTCTCTAATCTGCTGTCATGACTCTAAACTTCTCATGTCTTTACACTCTGCGGCTGTTTGTACAGTGTTCATTAATTTACTTGTTTTTTTTTTCATTCTGTCTTACACACTGAAAGAGATTATTACTGCCGTGGCCTTCTTATTCATGTTAGAAGAATGTGGACGTTTTTCACTGTGCAACTCAACTAATAACTGTATAAAAATCTGTAAAACCAATAACCAAAATACCTGTAAATGAACTTTTGTCTAACAGATGTCAGTAGACATGGTTTATAGAATCATCTCTCAGACATTAGCAGTTTTTAATGATAGATTCAGCATCTACAAAAGTTTCTGTCTTATATTAGCATATTTGCAAATGTCTGAGAAATTGATGACGATGTGTAAAAGTCCTACCTAAACTCTCTTCTGCTCCAGTGGAGTTTCTAAAGCAGGTTTACAAAAGCTGTAGTCCAACAATTGACCTACTGATCCTATTTTATGGGGGTGATGAGGGTGGCCAAATTCACACTCCACTATAAGGCCTTGTGTGGCCTCAGGTTCAAAAGACAGAGGCAGCTCCGACCACTCTTTTGTACCGCTCGTCTCTTTATGTGGTCTAGGGTGTTTTTGACCTTTGACCTTTGAAGAGACATTGTCCAGCTTCCTTATCTTTGTCTCCGCCCTCTTTTATCCTCCTCTGATCAATAGAGACATGCTCGCTCCTCTATTGTGGCTAATTACCAGTAATACAGCGTCCATATGTCTGTGTGGAGACACAATTAGTAGACGCAGCATTAGAACACAAAAAGGCTTTGGGATCCAGTCAGTGAATGGTGACGTGATGTGGTATAGTGCGGTGAGAAACGCCATCAATTCAGCGTGTTTGACAACAGAGTGACAGTTCTGACAATGGATCACCATTACAGAAGTGAAGCAGGCAGACACAAACACATTAGCTCCCTGCTGAAGTCACTGTGCTGCACTGCTGACCTGCTACACACACACACACACACACACCCCCACACACCCACACGCAGATTACCTGTTGAAATCTGTTCTATGAAATGGACCCCTGTTCATGCACACACTCACACACAGAGATGGAGACATGTACATGGCAACAGCATGACATTTTCTCTGTCATCTCTCTCTTTGTTAACAGTGCTGCTGCTGCTGCTGCCATGGCAACCGTGGCTCCTCCCATCACATTTCTCCTCCTGCTGCTTCAACTGGCTGATGGCTCATTCCCCGAGGAGCCCAGTCCCCTAAGCTATGTCCCCGTGGAGGGTACGTGTCCTTTTCACTGTTCATGTGTGGGTGTGGGTGTGGGTGTGTGCACGTGTGCACAGCAGGGCATGTGCAGCGTTGATGAATGACTCTGTGGTAGAAGCAGGAACTGGGCGAGGAGGTTCAAGGTTCAGAGGCTAGCTGTCAGGGACTGATAAATACAAGAGAAATGAGCAGAGAGGCACATTATTAAACTTTGCATAAACTTGAACATATTATAGAACAGCATAAATACAGAGAATAAATTATTAGCTTAGTAGTATTATGAAGTCAGAATCTGGGAGTCAAATGAAGTCTTCTCATCAGTTTGTATGTAAAACAAGAACAACTGGGAGGTATTTCTGAAAGGAATGTTATTGACTGACAGAAATCTGTGAAGTTAACTGCAGATGTTTAAAGAACTCCAGTCTGAGCAGCTAGTCTGTTACCAATGAAACTTCTATGTTCAGAAGCTGCTGCAGTGAAAAGGTATCAGTCTCAGGAAATACTTTTCACTGTCTACATAAAAATACGACTAAACTGCAGGACTAGCTTGATTTCTATCCTGTTATCTAGTTAGCTCGCTAGATAGATAGATAGATAGACAGCTTGATTTCTATCCATGTAGTTAGCTCGCTAGATAGATAGATGATAGATAGATGGATAGATAGATAGATGGATCGATAGATAGATAGAGAGATAGAGAGATGGATAGATAGATAGATAGACATAGATAGATAGATAGATGATAGATAGATGGATAGATAGATAGATGGATTAGATAGATAGATAGATAGATAGAGAGATAGAGAGATGGATAGATAGATAGATGGATCGATAGATAGATAGAGAGATAGAGAGATTGATAGATAGATAGATAGAGAGATAGAGAGATGGATAGATAGATAGATGGATAGGGTGCTGAAGGACTGAAGGGGGAGGAGACAGGTGGAGATGGATTACTTTGTTCTCTCCTCCTCCTCTGCAGTCAAGGACAATGAAATGTTTCCCCAATCCGTCTCCTGTTGATGAGGATTCCCAGTGGAGGCTGACGTCCTCCTGTTAAAACTTTCTAATAGTCTGATCCTAGTACCGCCATCTTCCACCTCACCAGTACTCTCTCACTCCCCCGCGGGGAAAAAGCTTAGTAAGGTGTTTCACTGGAACTTGTTTTTGTTTCTTTTTACCAAAGGTATTAAAGTGAGAGAAAGTGTTGTTTAGGTGAAGGTTACTGGAGACACTTACACTTCTGCCTGGTGTTTCTTGTTAAATATAGATGTGCAAAAGTATTTGAACTGTACCCAGCTGTCAGAGTCTCCTTGAGACAGGGACACTTAAATTGACCGGCGTCATTTTGTGCTTTGCTGTGTGTGTGTGTGTGTGTGTGTGTGTTCACGTCAGTGGTGAGAAGATATCCAGTTTTTCTGGGCAGAGCTCATCGTTCCGCCCAGAGACAGGAGCTGCACATCCAGACCGTCCTCCAAGTCAACCGCACACTCTACATTGGAGCCAGGTAACCAACGGCAACTGCCTCCGACTGCGTGTTACCAACATGTTCACATTAAAATCCTTTTCATTTGATGCCACTGCTTCCATCTGCTGTCACTCTGCAGAGGAGCTTTTCAGTTTGTTTTTCTGGTGAGGCTGCATTCAGTCTTGTTTGGCTAATGTGAAGTGATGGATGAAGAATAAAAATAGCTGCTTATAAGTGGCAGAAAAATACAAATTCACAAAGCACAAATATGAAATAAAAAAAACAACAACCTGGGATCCTATTTCTGGTCCGTTGGGGTTGCTGAGGATGTTGACTGACAGAGTGGGATTTCAGGTGCGCCAGTGTTTGAGAGGCAGAAAGAAACAAACGGAGGACGTTAGAATGAAAAAGCCGTTACCCAACAGCCTCCCTGTTCCTATCACCAGGAGAATAGGAAAGCAATTGTCAACAAATTGCTTCTCCTTACCTCTGCTACGCAAAAGAGAACCCTGAAGGACTGAGCAGCAGCGGAGGCTTCACGCTGCTGCTAAACCTTGTTATTTGCTATTTTGACTTTGTGTCAGGAAAAAAAGGGTAATTGTATTATTTATTTTTCAACAAACTGAATTGGATTTCAAACCCAGGACACTGGTCCACAACAAAAGCATTTTTCTGTTTTAAATATTCCTCCAACCCACGCTGACTTGTCCTGAGTGACAGTGATCATGTGACTGAAATACAAGAGGCTGAGCTGGAATGGGGGAAATTTTCACTGGGGTTGACCAGGATGGACAGATTATAAATGAGCAAATTACAAAGGCAATGGTAGATGTAGTCAGTGTGGATGATGGAGATGGAGATTTACCAGGAACCCAGAAAAACAAACGGCTAACTAAACAGCAGCCCTTCATTACTGTGTAAAGACAATTGTGATATATTGTTTATTTTATGATTGATGAGGATTCATGGTGATTTGCACTTCATTCTATTCACTCATTCAAATCCATTTATTCGATGCTGGACTTTCTGTTAGCATGCTACCAGCACAGGAACAGCTTTGTTTAAGCAGCCTCACCCAGGGACACAGTGGCATGTGGATGAATTACACAACAGACAGAAATACACAAAACAGTTCATTCTTTAGTTCATCACTAACTTCCCTGCATGTATTTTGCTAGTCTATATGCAGGTGTGTCCCTGAGCAAGGCACTTATTCCCACATCCCAGTGCTCCTGCTGGCCGTGCGTGTGTAATTAAAGAACTAATACCTGTATGAACGTCTGAGTGAATGTCCTGAGTCACGTGTGCATCTTCTCCATGGTTGTAGGGACGACTTGTACAGAGTGGAGCTGGATAACATGGCAGGTGACGAGATGTTCTACAGCAAGGTGAGGCTTGTCTCTTTATTTCTCTCCTCTCACGTACACATTCCCTAAATAGCCCAAGAACACTGCCAAGAACCAACACAGTCTTGATTGACATTTTTTTTCATAAATAAATCTCAGTTTGATGTCTGAGCCCAAACCTTTTACTAATTACTAACTTTTTCTTTTACCTCACACCAGTGCCCCTCCCCCAACAACAATGACATTTACCGCTGCAGTAAAAACTAATTCGATGTCCTTATGTCTTCAAAATGTCCTTGCAGTCATGTTTGGAAGCCAAACCTATTCCCCGCCGTCTAAAAAAAGCCAAGCGCACTCACAAACACACACATAAAAAGACACGTGTACACCTGCAAACCCAACAGTTCTCCACTGAGATGAGGGCAAACGCAGTCTAACTGTGACTTCTTCTCTGGGCAGAAACGAACATGGGAGTCCAATAAGAACGATATCCGAGTGTGTCGCATGAAGGGCAAACACGAGGTAAAGTAGTCACACACACACACACGCAGACGTCTCTGTATCCTTGTGTGTACATCAACACAATGTAAACCATCATATGCATGGACAGACACAACAGCTGTTGTTAGATAGACTTCATTTCCCTCAGGCACACCTGCACAAACCTGATCTTGTTGATACACAACCAGCACCTCATTCAAACGTGTGAATCCAAACATGATGCAGTCCAGGAGCTGTCCAAGAAGACTGTATGAACTATATGTCATTACATACACAGGATGGTTTTCTCACCCCGTGGGCAAATTGGACCGTTTTGAACAAGTGTTGTTCGGCATTGTTCTGAAATGTATGAAGGGAAGGGATCAATCCAATAAAAGAAAACAATATGATGCCAGTGTAACCCGGTTGGCTCTGTGAGTAACCTAAAATATAAGCTTTATTGTATAAATACAGCAGTGCCGCCAGCAAAATCCAATTTGGGTGGAAAGAGGACGGAGAAATAAAAAGAGGCAACAGGAAATGTTATAGAGCAAAGTGAGCAGAGAGTGACACAGCCTGAGGGAGGACTCAGTAATTGAAATCAGCAGAGGAAAGGAGGGAAGGATCGGGATGGAATGACTGCAGGGAAGGAGGATAAAATAGCCACGAGGCAGTGAGAGGCGAAGAAGTAAAATAGATCTGAAATTTGATTTTCTCGCATCGAGAGAAGCAAAGGTCAAAGGTGGGACGATGGTACGAGAGAGTCCGAGACAGAAATCTGAAGTCGGGAAATAAACTCATCAAACCTTTGTTAAATGACTCGGGAATTATTTGATGGCTCTGCACTTATTAGAGCCATTTTCCTTGAAAGAGAAAATCAATAACAGACGTTTTCACGCTACAGAGGACATTTTAACTTACTGAAGCAAAGCAAACAGCAGGGAGAGAAATCTTGTCTGTTAAGATTCTGTTTAAATTAAACAGCTGCAATAGTAATTATAGTCTCCGCAGTTTAACCGCTGAGAAATCAATGGCAACAGGACTAATAGTTAGTTTTGATGTTGTGTTGTGTCCAAACTTCTTATCATGTTGAAGGAGCTGCTTCCTCTGAGACACTGCAGAGTTCTGGAACTGGTAAACCAAATCTTTCACGCCCCACAGATTTTGACAGATTTCTACAGTGACCTTTAAAAGGGAAAGCATCAGGGAGAGTAAGAACTCTAACAAAGGCAAACGATTCGCTGTAGTAGGCTGTTTGTCTGGATAGAACTCAATATAACATTATCTAATTATAAAATTCACTAGATTGTTAAAAATCTGCAAAAAGAAAAGTCCTTAAATATAATTTAACATATTTCCAGAATTATCTAAATGTATCTGTGTTAGCTTGGCACAAAAAAATTAAATAAGTTTTTATGAAATTAGTTTCAAAGTTAAAATGAATAAAGCTAAAACTTGTCGTCAGAGTCATTAAAATCTAGCCTAGAAATAGTTGCCAAAAACACAAATAATATGAGAAAAAACAGTTTTTTTTAATTGTAAAAAGGCTACAAAAACTGTAAGCTCTAATGGTTAAAAGTTACTTAAAATGTGTTAAGTATTTTCTGATAATAAAACAAAGCAGTGAATTCTTTAAAATGTTTTTCTTTGGGCCATAAATTAATTCAGCTAGTCTAGCCTGCTAATGCCTAAGGCCACAAATAATTAAATAAATAAATAAAATAAAACCCTTAACATATTTATGAAGTATGTCTTTTTTAGTTGCTACTTTACTGGTTTTTGAAATGATCGTAATAAAACCATTCTGTGAAAAGAGAGTTTGTGATAACGAGTCAAGTCTACTCATCGTTACCTCTGCTGGTGCTTCTGTAAATTAGCCAACAAACAGCAGATTCATCCGTTTCCAACTGACTGATCACGTCTTTTAGCGTGACTTCAATCAGCAGCCTCCACTCTGAGGTGTGTTTGATATGCAGCCCCTCGCTCCTGTCTTCAAGGGTCGGTGTCCCAGGTCTGTTTGGACCGAGCGGTGCCCAAACTGCTTTAAATTCAGTGTCCTCCAGGTGGAGCCGGCTGGAGGATGTGGTTGCATGAGTGTTTTTGAAGTTACACCTTAAACAGATCCTTCAGTCTGGCTCCATCCTCCTGATATGACTGAAGGGGATCAGCTGCAGTCCT